CCTCGCCTAGTAACGGATCTATCTGTTGTTTAGATCACATTTCATCATCGCCCCCAGACCATTGCATATTCACTCTTTAACAAACCACTTGACCTCAGCCCATTTGAGACACTTTAATGGACGCATTGATGTGTTCACCTATGGTTGTCAGCACTTGCGACTTTCTTTGTTTACAGCTTGATATGATATGACATAACCCATGTCCCCTAGCTGACAGTATTCGAGCATAATTCCCGTCGTATTCATCCCCCCTCCTCCGCCTTGAGGACACATTTGGTCCTCGCAACATGATTCATTTGGTGACCTATTGATACAAGTAAATATGTTCCATGTGGGCTCTTGTGACCCGTGCCCCCCCCCCTTTATTCCTTTAAAAATAAACGTTACTCATTCCGCATCAAATTTATTGCCAATTGTGCCGTACCGATTTCTCCACCTGGTTTATCCACATCTCTTAGTACGGTTTGCCCTTATTTACCCATATCTACTGCCAAATCCTTATCTGTATTACCAATAAAATTACCCCCTGGCCGAGTGGCTCTGATTGGTCAGTTTGCCCCGTGTAAATACACTATTCCCCTTGATGTTCATTATTCTATGGTCTGACGTTGCCTAGCGCGTGGCCTGACTAGGTATCCCGTGCCCTTTCGATTTACCCTGCCTGATTTCTGAGCCGGATTGCTCATAACTTGAGGTATTTTGTACATATTTCCTGTTTATTCGTATCCTGTACAAGTGGATTACCGACTCGTTTTCTATTTGCCTGAACTTGGGGGTTCGTTTTCTGGGCGTCACTCTATCACTGGACTTCAATCCGGCACACTTGCATAGACTTTCTGCTTTGATTATCTATACCAATTGTTATCGATTTGTTGCTTGAGAGAACTACTAAAACTAGTATTCAGTAAGTTATTTTGTTCCTGTTTGTTTTGTGAAAATGCATTTCAGTCTCGCAGACACCCAGCTCAATTATCCCAACATTATGAGCAATTCATCACCGAAAAGCGTGAAGGATCCCGGGCAATTGCTTCTCCTAACGGAGACTCAAGTCTGAAGGCATTTTGTTGGTGTCTGCGGTCAAGTCAAACACAGACGCTCCTGAACGGTGGACTTCTCTAGAGTGCTTGCATTATCAGGCCTTACTGTCCCCGCTAATAATACAATTGCAATTGCATCTCATTCTGCTCGAATTTAATCTGTTTCAAGGAAGCTGATTCCGCATCTTCGGTGCATTGTTGAACCTACAGTCCACCAATAATCATGGAGTAGTTTGAAAGTTGGATATAGCCAATACATATGTGAAAACATATCATATATTATTTATATAAACAATTAATCCTATCAGGATCGAGATCCGTTTCCCACCGTCCATTATTCTACGCTTCCTCTTTCCTGGTAATTGAATTTCGCTCGAAAATATTTTCCACAAATTTCCTATTCTACAACTGAAGTCATACATATTAATCAATGATGAAATAGCTTAAATCTAATATAAAGTTCAGTATTTGTTTTCAGTTTATCAGAAACGCTGCTTTTCACTCTGCGTGTTCACGCTTCCCAGATAGGATATGCATGTATATATGTAAACTGTATTTGAGAAAACCATAGTTTTCATGCAAATGTAATTTCTGTCTTGGTTCAAACTTAAGTGGTATCGTTTAAAGTGGAACACCCTAATTGTCGCGATATGCCATTTCGTTACAACTGAGGATTCGCACACACACACACATACACACACACACACATAGCCACAGTGAGACTTAGTCTGCTTTGTTGCTTCAACATGGATAGTTGTGTTTCACTGTGCGTGTGTTTGCGCGCGTGTATGGACTTGTAGTTGAATACTATTCACTGGTTAGAAACACTAGGAAGTTGGTATTTGTGAAACTGACTGCAACTGGAAGAATACCTGCGACTAGTTTATTTCAATTCATCCGTAAAATGCAGTATTACGCAACATACTCCGGGACAAACAGTTTGCGGTCGCATGCCTATCTGTGAAAGACAAGGTCACTCTGATGTCTAAATACCGTCTGCCATCTCAAACTTCAAGATAGAAATAAATTAGGCGGAGATCAACAGATGACATGAACAGGAAGCATGATCCACTGCACTGAAAGATGATCAATATGGATCTCTCTCTCTCTGAACTTCCGGACTGCGGTTCAAAGGAATTTCTAGCCCGATCAATCCGATAAGGAATGCTTGAAGCACCGGTGACTCTGTGATGATCTCATGACAAGTTGGATCATGCAATTTTGTGTTCTCCTGTTCGTCCGTGGTCAGAATTTGAGAATTTCGCTGACTAAAGTCTTTTGTTTTCCGAATGAGCCCATTACTTCCTTACGTTTTCGTGTTTGTTTTTCTGTACGTACAGAACTCGGCAACATTGCACGTGAAACCAACCCACGGTTCCCGCTTCAACTGACTAAAACATTTGGACTTTCTGATTTCAGTAGTGATTTCACATACACATACACGAATCAACTCTAACTAAAACTCTACAGTTAAAGTTTATCCTTCCGAAATCTCATTTATGCCACCTCTACAATCCTTTTAATTGCAGTGTGATCTCTAAACAGGTAACATAGAATGCCATTGGAAGCGTAAAAACATAACACTTATTTACACCTTCATTCAACCCAGAATGCGTTCGTTTCAGTTAAAACAGTTCTATTTAAACCTCTGGCCAACACTGTATTTTGCTCAAAACTTGCACGGAATCAAATATTATCATAAGATATTATAAGAAACAAATTCACCATGTTCTCGTTTCAACAAACATTTCTGGAATTATTGTCCAATCAGGCAACACCATCACTCAATTAAAGTCACTTGAATAAATGATTTAAAACAGTTTCTGTTGTTGGTGGGGTAATCTCAGTCTGAATAGGAGAATAGATTCACAAGTTCAGTCACATCTGAATGCCTCAGTTATGTTTTCATATCGTTTCTGGAAGTTAGTAATATATCTAGCCTAACCAAACTTTTGGACTAACTCCTGCTTTATGTCCCCTAGTCTTTTGTTTTTCTTGACACTTCCCGCTATTTATGAACGAACAACTAGAAACCGTTCGTATTCTAGACTAATAACGCATGTGAATTCTAATTTTGTTTTATTGAATCAAATTTTAGCGGCAGATAGCCAATGACTGTATGGTGTGTGGTGTTGGTCATGGGAGACTAAATCACATTTGATTTTATTCTCTGTCAATAGGTTTATTCTTTTTTATGGTCATCGGGTAGCCTAATTGCACAGACATTCCAGCTGTAAAACCTCACGCTTTTAGTCAGATAAAAATGAAATTGCATTTGTTGTTAACTTCTCGTGGGTAAGAGTTGCCAGAATTGACAGCTCGGAGTCCCCCAAATTCCTTGGGGAGATAAATCATATCACTAGATTTCACCTGCAACATCCAAGGTCTCAGTTCATTTTGCTCATCTTCAACCAACCGGTTAGAATCGTTTAATGACCATGCTTGTGATATCGAATCAGGCCAAATATTGTTTACTCGCAGACGCTGCCATTGTGATTGTATTTACTGCTGATCCTGTTACCGTTGCTGTTGTTGTTATTCTTTCTTTTTGGGAGGGGGAGAGACGAAACAATATCGTCAGTGCACCGACATGGTCCAACCAGATCAACAAGCTTTGAACATGTCGAAAAGAAATTTCATGATCAAGTGCATCTGCATCCTTTCTTTCAGCATGTAATCTGAGTCAAAATGTGATCGCCTTTGGCCAAAATCACTCATGGGTGCTTTCTCGCCTGTCTCGCAGGCGCATTCACCTTCTTCAAGCTCGTGTATGTGCGCTGAGATTGTCGAACAAGTTTAGCTTGTGGCTAAATGTGGTTACATGCTGGCAAGCTAAACACACTTCGTTTATCATGATTACAATAGAGTAATGATTCACGGCTTTGTATATACTTCACTTATCTAAACTGTTGACTACGCTTGTGCACATTGCATATTACATTCCCTGGCAATGAAGGTAGCTTCCCGGAATAGCTAGTATTCAGTTTTTTCGGTCAGAACATTAATCCCGCAACTGATAGTGAATGGCAAATCAAATTCTGATGGGAATCAGAATTAGTCACCTAAGGGTATACAGCCGCAGCAGCTTGATAACAGCTTGGCCCAACGGTAAGGTTCAGCAGTGAATTTTGTGATGCTCTAATCCACTGGTGTATTCACATAGATCCGGTCGGAAGAATACTAGCTTAACGATACAGTCAGGTGATGATGAATAGCGTCATAGCATCATCAATTGTTCTGTGAAATATTTTCCTGCAGCAGTAACTAAAACTGATTAATGACATATGGAACTAGCTAAGACGAATAAGACGCGACTGGCGCAGTAGCAGTGGCAATGGCCACACCGAATCTCGTCAGGAACTTTATCGTTCAAACGCATTGCATTCCGTGCAATCCAAGCATTGATTTCCTACATTTGACCTGTACCCTGATGATCTACACTATTTATGTTCTGAATATTCTCTACAACCTAACCTGATCACTTGCATCATCATTTTTGTTAAACACAAACTGCATATCGGACTGCTCACCCGATGGAGAAATATCGTTTCAAACAAAAAAACCAGTTGACACGACATCTTCAATCGGGTAATGCTTGGACAAGGGACAAATCTAGCCCTGATTTGGGATAAATAACTTGCAACTAATTAACCACAATTGGGTGGACAGGCGGTAAACAAGAGCAAGAGAGAGATTACGCTGTCTGGCTTTAATGTAAGCAGAGAATTGCAACACCACAAATTGATACCACTTGCTTTGTCAGCACACAGTTTGAATGAACGAAGCGATTTCCATGAACTTAGTTGAGCTGCCAAAAAGCACACGCACCGTGGAAAGAGAAACAGAATTAGGCACGTCCACTCTGTAGTATGATGCAATGGCATCACACAGAAAAAATGGTATATTTTTCTGTTCAATTTATTTCACCGTTGCTCTCTTAAATCATAACAGTTTCCCGGGTTGTCAGAAGGATTTGGGGAAAAATCTGCAACCCCAAACCCCTACACTCATACAGTTTGCTCCCACCCCTCACAATTTAATCCGATTGCGCAAACTATGCCCTGAACTGAGTTCATCCAATTGAGACATACTGAGGATCTATTTGTGAAGATAACAACAGGTCGGTAAAGCTCTGTCTTATTTGTCGATGGTACGCCAACTGATCAGTATGTCACTATAATGCGGATCGACGAATGTTACATCAGACTATGCAACATGATGATGATGCCGGTTGTTCACTGTACCTCCACGTTACGTTTTGTACAGAAACGGAAGTTTTGATCCCCAACTGGTCACTCACTCACTCCCCCACATACAAGAACACAGACACAGCACTCTATTCATTCATCCCCCGCATCTTCATAGTTGCAGTGATTATTATGCAAGTTAACTATTTATTGACAAGGATTGGCAGTTTGAGAGTAACATCCGGGAAAAGATCCTATCCTGACTGTTGCTGCTCTCAGAACATAAACTATAACTTGTATAAGAAAACTACATACACAATTCTTCTATCTGCCATTTGCAGCAAAACAGTGTGTGATAACTTGTTTCAATTCAACAATTATAGGCTTATACAGCACTTGTGGAAGGTGGGTTTTACAAAAACTTTTCATGTGTAATATGCCCCGAAAAATGACTCCCCAGCATACTTTGAAACATCGACACACCTATTTGATAGTCACAACCTGTACTCCCGTCTTTCAGTCTCTCTTGGCGATTTGCAACTGGAGCCTGTAACCCGAAAACGAAAGAAATGTCCACATAATAGACTGAGGAAACAAGTTTACACTGGTCCGGTCTGCTGACCGGCAGTTTAGAACCAGTACTTTCTCGACTTCCCGCTTCCCACCCCATCCCCACGTTACCCAACGCCTCACATAAAAA